ACCGGCACCGGAACCGCGCCCGCGCCCGGCCCCGGCGGCTGCTGCTGCTCCTGGCGCCGCCGAACCTCCTCGTGCACCCGGCGGGCCTGCTCCAGGGCATCGTCGTCCTCCCGGGACCTGGGGAGTGACCATGAGTGACCATGAGTGACCACTGACCACTGAGTGACCACTGAGTGACCACTGAGTGACCACAGTGACCACTGAGTGACCACAGTGACAATGAACCCCCCCCAGGCCTGCTCCAGGGCATCGTCGTCCTCCCGGGACCTGGGCAGTGACCAGAGTGACCATGAGTGACCAATGACTGACCACAGTGACCATGAACCCCCCCCGGGCCTGCTCCAGGGCATCGTCGTCCTCCCGGGACCTGGGCAGTGACCACAGAGTGACCATGAGTGACCACTGAGTGACCACAGAGTGACCATGAGTGACCACTGAGTGACCACAGTGACCACAGAGTGACCATGAGTGACCACTGAGTGACCCTGAGTGACCACTGAGTGACCATGAGTGACCACAGTGACCAGGAGTGGTGATGGGTGGTTCTGCTGTTCTGGGCTGGTTCTGGTGGATCTGGTGATGATTGTGCCGCTCCTGGCTGTGTCCCTGTCACCCTGGCCATGTTCTGGTTGTGTCCCTGGTTTTGTCCCTGTGACCCTGGTGACATTTGTGCCGTTTGTGCTGCTCCTGGCTGTGTCCCTGTCACCCTGGCTGTCTCCCTGTCAGTGTCCCTGTCACCCTGGCAGTGTCCCGGCCGTGTCCCTGGTTGTGTCCCTGTCACCCTGGCCATGTTCTGGATGTGTCCTTGGTGGTGTCCCTGTCACCCCGGCCGTGTCCCCGGTTGTATCCCTGTCACCCTGGCCGTGTCCTGGCCATGTCCCTGTCTGTGTCCCTGTCACCCTGGCCGTGTCCCTGTCTGTGTCCCTGTCACCCTGGCCGTGTCCTGGCCATGTCCCTGTCTGTGTCCCTGTCACCCTGGCCGTGTCCCCGGTTGTGTCCCTGTCACCCCGGCCGTGTCCCTGTCACCCCGGCCGTGTCCCTGGTTGTGTCCCTGTCACCCCGGCCCTGTCCCTGTCTGTGTCCCTGTCACCCCGGCCGTGTCTCCGTGTCCCCAGTTGTGTCCCTGTCACCGCGGCTGTGTCCCCGTGTCCCTGTTTGTGTCCCTGTCACCCTGGCCGTGTCCTGGCCGTGTCCCCAGTTGTGTCCCTGTCACCCCGGCCGTGTCCCCAGTTGTGTCCCTGTCACCCTGGCCGTGTCCCTGTCTGTGTCCCTGTCACCCCGGCCGTGTCCCCGGTTGTGTCCCTGTCACCCCGGCCATGTCCCCGGTTGTGTCCCTGTCACCCTGGCCGTGTCCCTGTTTGTGTCCCTGTCACCCCGGCCGTGTCCCCGCGTCCCTCTGCGCTCACCTCATCCTCTCCTGCTCCCTGCGCAGCCGCTCCTTCTCGCGCTCCACCTGCTCGGCCTGGGCCTTGAGCGCCTTCTCGCGCTCCTCCTTCTCCCGCGCCGCGCGCTTGAACTGCTCGAAGGAGTCGCTCGACGACTTGGCCGCGGCCGCCGGCGCCGCCGGGTGCTTCTGCACCAGCGACGCCCACGAGCCCATGTTCTTGATCTTCAGGTCCTGCCGGGGACACGGCGCGGTCACCGAGGGGTGGGATCGGCCCGGAGAGCCGGGGGGTCCACCCAGAGAGCCGGGGGGATCCACCCAGAGAGCCGGGGGATCCATGGGATCGACCCAGAGAGCCCTGGGGGATCCATGGGATCGACCCAGAGAGCCGGGGGGATCCACCCAGAGAGCCGGGGGGATCAATGGGATCGGCCCAGAGCCCCAGGGGATCCACCAGGAATGGGGTGGGATCCGTGGGATCTGCCAGGATCCACCAGGAATGGGATCCATGGGATCCATGGGATCAGCCAGGATCCACCCAGAGCCCTGGTGGGATCCTCCATGGGATCCTCTGGGATCCACCAGCTTTGTCCCGAGGACCCAGACCCAGTCTGGATCTCCCCAGGCCCGGTGGGATCTCAGGGG